TGAAGTGAGTTTGGGCTATTTTATATTCTTTTAGACTAGCTGAAAGAAAACATCCAAATTACACATTTAAGTGTTTTTCCCCCTATTGGCATCTGTACATTTTATTTATAATACATATCTTTAACAGTTGTTTTCGCAAAATTATATATTTTTTTCTTTCTTGAGCCAGAAAGCATGTTTTATTTTTGTCTATATTCTGATGGTTTTGCTGAAGGTTTTGTTCAGTAATCATTCAGTAATCATTACAATCAGCAGGCTGGCTCAAAATTCTAAGAGGACACACATTCACACATTTTGAATATAAACTATAATATAAACAAACAGAAGGGAAAATAAATAATCTGAAGTAGTTAATCAGTCAAAAAAATTCATAAAATTAAATATTTTGAGATTAACTTTGTCACAGTCTTCAGCGGGTGTGCCCAGGATGGCCACCAGATGACACTGGTTTCTGTGAGCACATGGCTTGTGTTGTGTTTGTTTGGTGCCATGTGCTCTCGCCTGTCTATTGTCTTGCCCCGCCCATCTTGTAACCTCATTATTGTTTAAGTTGCTCCACCTGTGTCCCCCTCACTAGCCTCCTCATTTGGTTTTCTATTTATTCTCCTGGTGTCTGTAATCCTGTGCTGATCCGTCATTTTTCACTATGTGTATGTCTGCATGTAGTGCAGTTCCTAGCCTGCCTGTCTGTTTTTCCCCCCTCGGGGTTGTTTTAGTTTGTTTTTGTTTCATATTATTATTAAAAGAAAGAACCATTCATCCTGCACTTGAGTCCTCACTTCATCTCTCCACACGCACCATGACGGAACGGATCAGCCAACATGAGGACTCAGCGGAGAATGGGCTCACACAAACTACTGGTCTCCACTCTCTCCAGTCCACTCTACCAGCGCATGCTCCAGCTGAATACCTTAAGCTCCCTCCGTCAACAAGGGACTGATCTGAAAGAGTTTGCCAGGGAATTTAGGAATGCTGCAGAGGGGCTGGGCTACAATGACTCCGCGCTAAAGGACTTATTCAATTATACCCTTGATGAGCCCATTAGTCACTGGAGCAGGTTAGGATCCGATCATGTATCCTTTGAGGGGTTTATGGAGTTCTTGGCACGTTTCCCCAGCTAAGGGGGCTGCAGTGCCTCCCGTGATGGCCGACGAAGCTGCAGCGCCCCCAGTGGTGGCCGAAGAGGTTGCAGCGCCCCCAGAGGTGGCCGACAAAGCTGCAGCCGACAAAGTTGCAGCACCCCTGGTGGTGGCCAAAGAGGCTGCAGTGCCCCTGGAGGCGGCAGACGAAGTTGCAGTGCCACCCTTTCGGAAATGGAGGAGGAAGAATAGGTCCGCCTCGCCACCCCTAGAGGTGGCCGAAGAGGCTGCAGCGCCCCCGAAGGCTGCCGACGAAGCTGCAGCGCCCCTGGTGGCAGCCGAAGAGGCTGCAGTGCCCCTGGAGGCGGCAGACGAAGCTGCAGTTCTACCCTCTCGGAAACTGAGGAGGAGGAAGAGGACAAAGGCTTCTTCTGTCCTTTAAGGCCGGGAGGCCTTCCTAGAGCCTGGTGCCCTGCCGGCTCCACCCAAGCTCAAGCTCCTTGCCCTGCCGGCTCCACCCAAGCTCAAGCTCCATGCCCTGCCGGCTCCACCCAAGCTCAAGCTCCATGCCCTGCCGGCCCCCTCCTTGAAGCAGGCTCTGCTCTTGCTGCCGGCCCCGCCTTGCCGGTCTCGCCCTGGCACCCTGGTTTACCTCTATCTCCAGGCCCTCTTCCACTACACGGGCCTGGCCCACCATCTCTCCCCTTGATCCACCTCCGTTCCGCCTCCCTCCGGGATTTCTTTTGGTGGAGCGTCTGGAATCCGCTCCTTAAGGGAGGGGTTCTGTCACAGTCTTCAGCGGGTGTGCCCAGGATGGCCACCAGATGACACTGGTTTCTGTGAGCACATGGCTTGTGTTGTGTTTTTTTGGTGCCATGTGCTCTCGCCTGTCTATTGTCTTGCCCCGCCCATCTTGTTACCTCATTGTTTAAGTTGCTCCACCTGTGTCCCCCTCACTAGCCTCCTCATTTGGTTTCCTATTTATTCTCCTGGTGTCTTTAATCCTGTGCTGATCCGTCGTTTTTCATTGCGTGTGTTATGTCTGCATGTAGTGCAGTTCCTATTCTGCCTGTCTGTTTTTCCCCCTCAGGGTTGTTTGTTTTTGTTTCATTTTATTAAAAGAAAGAACCATTCATCCTGCACTTGAGTCCTTGCTTCATCTCTTGCTTGACAAACTTGATAAAATTGAGGAAACTGTGGCTAGCGGTCACACTTTTTACTGCAATAAACGTTTCTCAATTTCTGTAGAGACAAATACTTTGAAGCCTGGTCTAATTCACATTTCCACTATTATTGTTTAGGAAAAAAAAAGAGCCATTGGATTGAACACATGTGGATCTATATATCCACATGTGTTCATAGTATGTTGTCATACTATATGGGGTAAATTGTTACAACAGGAACCTGCGGTTTATTGACTAATTTGAGAAGGATATCCTTGTTTAAATATTAAATATATTTTATTACATTAGATAGTATCTTTAAAAACATACCTGTATTTAAAATCTATACAATATTTAATGGCTTTTCAGCAAAATTTAAATGGGCTAAAAAAATTGTGTCCAGCATGACAATGTGTGGGGGGTCTTAATGCTTTCTGAATGCACAGTAATTGCTTGTGAATAAATAAGTGTTCAATATTGGTTTATATATATATATATATATATATATACAGGGTTTGAAATGAACACCCGCCAAATGCGGGTAAAAATCAGCTGTGGTGGGTAACGCTGTCAAATCAATTTGGCGGGTTACTTTTCGAAAGTTATGTCCACTCATTAATTTCTTGGGGAAGTTCATGCAAGCCAAATCTGCACAGGTTTAGCGCAAATACTGAACTCGTGAGCCATCATGGCATTATCGAGTATATTGCAAAAAACAAAAAAAAACACATCTAAAGAGGCACGCATACGCGACGAGATGAAGTCTGGTTAGACCAACACAGGCTTTAGTGCGCGTGCGCATTTAGAGTGCAATCTTTCACGGCATGATTCAGTCTATTAATATGCATTAAGAATTATCACATAATTCAGGATAATGGGCAGAAAATTTATATATTTTTATCAATTCATATAGTTAATATCACAGGAAGAGTGCCGTTTTTTCTTTAAATAAATCAACATGGTTACAAATGTGATATTGTTTATTGAACTGTTGTATAAAATCAATAAGTTAATATCAAGAGACTTACGTTTTAGACACCATATTGGCTGTTTTTGCGCTATTTCTGCACTATTTCACCAACTAAAAACATTCCAAACACAGCCACAGTACTGTTTTGCGTCTCTGAGCAACATGACGTTGTTTCGTTCCTGAATTAATCAACCTTTTAAATGATTCGGTTCAAATGCAATGACTCACTTAACAGTGACTTGCTGCCATCTACTGGCGATTTTAATTTCACATTTAAATTATCTTTTCATTTTTTTAATAATTTCATATATCAGTATTCAACATTTCATGTTTAAAAAATCAAAACATTACTTATGCATTTGTAACTGCAATTTAAAGTATTCCATGTTCCTCTGAGCTGCATTAACATGTGTAAATACATCTAAATGCCACTTCATATGCAACTTCCGCAAAAATGAATTTTATTGATACTGATTTAATTTGTTTAGTAACAGCCTAAATGTATTATTATTATAATTGACTGATTAAATGTAAGAATTTGACTTAAGAGATGATGCACACTTTTAGAAAAAATGGCTTTATAAAGGTAAAAATGTCCATAAACGGTAAAAATCAATTTAAACTTATTGGAAAAGCTTAGTTTCTATCACTGCTGTGAACTGACCACACAGAATACGAAAAATATCAAAAACTTTAGGAGTCAGCTGTCCACGGTAGTCCTTATGATATCAGCACAATAACACACTCAGCAAAATATCGTCTAATTATCTTTATCGATAAAATCCCAGAAAATATTTAGATATTATTTTTTTGTCAATATTGCACACCCCTAATACTGAAACAAAATGATTTGCAACGGTCGCTTTGTCACGCCCAGTGTAGACAGCCTCAAACTGTTGGTTTATTTCTGTCTCTCTTTTTTTATTAATTTTTTTTTGGCTAGTAGCCAAATTGGCTGGTGAGTGAAAAAGTTAATTTCAATTCCTGATTGTGGCATATTTGGCGATGACGCGAATCAGACCTGAAAGTGCTGGATCTGAAGATGATCTACTTACTGTGAATGTTTTTTGTATGACTGTGTAGAGAAGATGATCGAGTGAAACACTTCCCACATGCAGTGCAGTGATATGGTTTCTCTCCAGTGTGTATCTTCTCGTGTCTTTTCAGGTATCCTGACCGACTGAATGTGAAAAAGTTAATTTCAATTCCTGATTGTGGCATATTTGGCGATGACGCGAATCAGACCTGAAAGTGCTGGATCTGAAGATGATCTACTTACTGTGAATGTTTTTTGTATGACTGTGTAGAGAAGATGATCGAGTGAAACACTTCCCACATGCAGTGCAGTGATATGGTTTCTCTCCAGTGTGTATCTTCTCGTGTCTTTTCAGGTATCCTGACCGACTGAATCTCTTGTCACAGTGTGAACACTTGTACAGTTTCTCTCCAGTGTGGATCTTCTCATGTGTTTTCAGATTTCCTGGCTGATTGAAGCTCTTGTCACAGTGTGAACACTTGTAAGGTTTCTCTCCAGTGTGAATCCTCTCGTGCTGTTTTAACAAGTTTGCTGTAGTAAAAGTCTTCTCACACTCAAAGCACATGTACTCTCTCACACCAGTATGCATTATCTGATGTTCTTTCAAATGGTGTAGACGTGAAAAACTCTTTCCACACAAATGACATGAATGTGGCTTCTCCTTTGTATGAACTCTCAGGTGCCGATTCAGGTTTGAAGCTCTCAAAAATGTTTTTCCACATTGATCACATGCGTACAGTTTCTCTCTAGTGTGGATGTTCATGTGATACTTAAGGTTTGCTGATTGTGTGAAACTCTTTCCACACTGATCACAAGTAAACGGTTTCTCTTCTGTATGAATTCTCATGTGAACATCAAGACTATGTTTGGATGTCAAACTCTTTCCACACTGAGTGCAGGTGAAAGATTTCTTGGCTCTTGTTTTCTTTAATCTTACCCGTTTTCTTTGACAGCAACTCAAAGGTTTTTCTCCAGTTTTGAAGTGATTTTTCTCTTCAACTTCACTCAATTCTTCATTCTGCTCATTTTCTTCAATCAACTCTGAAATAAATGCAAAAACAGTTCATTTGTCAGTAACTCAAAAAAATATTGGCATGTAAATGTTTACAGGCCAGGACTCTTATCAAACATGTGAAGTTTGGAGAAGACCGGACATTGTATGCATGAGTTACAAAAACTTCCTGTTTCATAGTATTAATAGCATGCTTTAGCACTTAGTAAGTTTTGCTAGCATGTTTGATCATATTTATAGCATGTTTAACACACAATGGCATATTTTACTGTGTTGCTAATAGTGCATCACAGTGTTAAACATGTCACTTCCTGTTGCCAGTAGGTGACGCTATAACTATAACCGAATATGACCATGGAGATGTCCTCAGGCCAGGACTCCAATCAAATATGTGAAGTTTGAGGCATATTGGACATTGTATGCATGAGTTACAAAAACTTCCTGTTTCATAGTATTAATAGCATGCTTTAGCACTTAGTAAGTTTTGCTAGCATGTTTGATCATATTTATAGCATGTTTAACACACAATGGCATATTTTACTGTGTTGCTAATAGTGCATCACAGTGTTAAACATGTCACTTCCTGTTGCCAGCAGGTGGCGCTATGAGTATAATTGAATATGGGCATGGGTATGTGTTCAGGACATAACACCTATCAAACGTGTGAAGTTTGTGGCAGATCAGACATTGCTTGCCTGAGTTACAGCAACTTCCTGTTTCATGGCGAAACATCAAATGTTGTCAGGCTGCCAGGGACACAAGATCGAAAACGAAACCTCAAGATCTTCGCAATTTCGCATCGCAAAGGCCTTATGATTACTCTCAGCAAATTTGAAGATGATCCGATTAAAACTGTAGGAGGAGTTTGTTAGTACGAGGCCTGAAAATGACAAAAACTGCCCAAAAATCATACAGGAAATTAAAAATAAAGGACTTCTTGTTGGGTTTCGGATTTTGAACCAGGAGACTTTTTAGTAGGTAATGGTGTGTTACACAACCAATTCTGAAACCCATATCAGATGTACATTTTCACCAATTCTGATGTGTGTGCAAAGTTTCATGAGTTTTGGAGCATGTTTAGGCCCTTAAAAATGTGATTTACTTCGGAGAAGAAGCGGAAGAATAATAATAAGAGAGGGAGCAATTCCAATAGGGTCCTCACACCATCGGTGCTCGGGCCCAAAATATAAAACTACTTGAAACTGTATAACCGTCACCATTATTAGTGAAGAATGAAGAATAAACACCAACCTGTTAGTTCTTCAGTATCTTCCGTGTGTTTGATTCTGCAGGGTTCTGGATCTCTCATCTTCTCTCTGTCCTCTTTAATAAACTCAGTTTTTACAGATTTCTTCCTGATGCTTTGATGCTCGTCTGCATTGATAAACTGATGGGAATATTTCAGCTGAATTTCTGTGTGGAAGAAGCAGATTTGCCATAATCAACAAGAAATCAAGAAGTGTTGTCTCTTTGTAAATCATTATATCACTATATTAAAAGAGTGTTGACACAAAGGTAAGAGTGTAGAGCACATCAGTTTAAAATGCTCATTCAGTAACACTTTACTCACATAAGTGCTAATTCACACATTCTATGTATTTCTGTGTTGTCTGTCTTTCTAAATAACAGTAAGAATGAACAATGAAAGCATAAACAGAAATCTGCTGACACTCATCATCATTAACAACTACAGGTAAATAACTACACTAGAGTTATTTACTGTATCGTTCTCACAGTATTTCTGCTGTTTGTCAGCGCTGTTTCATCTGGCTTTTAACTAGTTTAAATCAGCGAGTCATTTGTGTTCTTCACTTAACTCAAGCGCTTCACACTGGATCTCAAAGTGATGTTTAGTGCTCACCACTGTGCTGCCGTTTGAACCTGAGCGGAGCGGATAAAGTGTCCGTGCGGCACGCTTCAAAAAAAATTTCTGCTATTGGCGCATGAACATTATATCGAACATTTATTGTGGCCTGGTCTGAAGAATCACATTTTATTTTACGTCACATGGATGGCCAGGTGCATATACGTCGCTTATCTCGGAAACACATGGCACCAGGATGCACTATGGGAAGAAGGCAAGCCGGCGGAGGCAGTGTGATGCTTTGGACAAAGTTCTGCTGGGAAACCTTGGGTCCTGCTATCCATGTGGATGTTACAATGACACATAGCACCTACATAAGCATTGTTGCAGACCATGTACACCCTTTCACGGAAACGGTATTCCCTGGTAGCTGTGGCCTCTTTCAGCAGGATAATGCGCTCTGCCACAAAGCAAAAATGGTTCGGAAATGGTTTGAGGAGCACAACGAGTTTGAGGTGTTGACTTGGCCTCCAAATTCCCCAGATCTCAGTCCAATCGAGTATCTGTGGGATGTGCTGAACAAACAAGTCCGATCCATGGAGGCCCCACTTCGCAGCTTACAGGACTTAAAGGGTTAGTTCACTCAAAAATGAAAATTAGCCCATGTTTTACTCACCCTCAAAGCATCCTAGGTGTATATTGTTATGTATTTAGTGTTTGGAATTGGGATATATTGCAGTTGTTGCATTATGCTCTTGATGCTGCTGTGTGACCCTGTATATACTACTGAACAGTTGTTAAGTAAAGAAGAAAAGGTTATGTGCACTCGGCCTCCATTGTATCTTTGTCCATAGAATATAATGATATTCTGATAAATACGACAAAATTGGCGACGAGGATTGGACATATTAACTTCTACTTTGTACTGGTGCAGACTAATATAGACCAACATACTTTTTTTTGACGAAAATGAGTGCTCATCGTTTGAAACATTGACTGCAACCATCGGGACATCAAATCAACATAATCCACAAACAGAATGGTGACTATCGGGCATATTGATGCTTTTGACGAGGCCATCGAGTAGTGGACAAACATGTATTGAATGGTTTGAACACTTCACAAAGGCCAATAATATTGATGAGGAAAAAACTGTTCCAGTGTTGTTAAGCGTTATGGGCACGAAAACGTACGGTCTTCTATGTAACTTGATTGCAACTGCTAAACAAGGAGAAAAGATGTATCAAAAGATTGTTACGACGTAAAAGGATAATAGCATAATAAAAGAACACTTCTGTTTCCACAAACGCAATCAAGAGGAAGTGACGGTTGCACAGTATGTATCAGTTTTAAAACAACTCTCTAAACATTGTGACTTCGGAACACATTTGGAGGATGCTTTTAAGGCAGTGGTTCTCAATTCCAGTCCTCGCGTACCCCAGCTCTGCATATTTTGCATGTCTCTCTTTGTTAACACACCTGATTCAGATCATCATCTTGTTAGAAGTGAGCTCCGTGCATGAACTGTGTTCTGATTGACATGGTCCCTACACAGTGTCCACTGCTCCCTACTCCCTGAGCAGGGGATATCCGTTAAAGTTTACTTCACTTCGAAATATTCATTTACAGATTTGCGCTACGCCGCTGCCTACATCGTCTTCACACACATACGAAACTTACTAGAGAAGTGTGAAGTGGGACATAACATACTTCTGTAAATAAATACAAATTAAATTTAAATTCACATCTGGCACAATTAAATGCCCTTTGTATGGAACATATACGCTCCCTTCAAACTGGAATCATGGCGGAATATCCCATAATGTCCACTTTGCAGGGCACTTACAGTCAAATATAACAAACGTCTGAAGCAATAAGAGAAACATACAAAATGTGCAGAGCGGGGTACGCAAGGACTGGAATTGAGAACCGCTGCTCTCGCGGCACTTACTTTTCACAAAGCTGAAGAGTTTGCGGTCCCTTAAAGTAAATGCAATGCATGTTTCCTCACCCAAACAGCGACGCAATTGTAAAAGATGTGGGAAAACGAACCACACAGATGAGGACTGTTAGTACAAAGATCAAGCCTGCCATTCATGTAGAAAGAAAGGCCACATCAGATGCGTGTGCAGAAATAAAATAACCTTTGAAAGAGAAAGAAAGCATGAGAAAAAGTTTAAGCCACGTAAAAGACAGAGTAAAAATTATAAGAGACGGGTACATCATCTGGATGCTGGAGGAAAACAAAGTGTTGGGTCAAGTACAGATACAGAGAAGGAAATTACACTGTATATGATAACCAAAAGAGAGCAACTCGCACACATTCGTATAACTCCAGAAACTGAGGGGAAAATGATTGAGATACAGGTGCTGCAGTGTCCCTAATTTCAAATGAAAACTATGCTAATGACTTGCAGCATATTCCACTGCAGCCGACCGACATCTTAAAAACATACAGTGGAGAAGCACTAGCACCAGTAGGGGTCATCAACATAGCGGTAAAATTAAATAAATCAGTCTGCACGATTGCCACTGTATGTGGTTAACAGTGATGCCCAACCATTATTTGGTAGAGAATGGCTGAGATCTATAAAACTTAACTGGCAAGACATAAAAACAGTCAAGCATGGAGTTGCAGACACTACAGAAACTGTGATAAATCGGCACTCCAACGGTTTTGAGAAATACTTGGGCACTATGGAAGGAATTGAAGCTAAAATTGGCTAAAGCGTGATCATACTCCACAATTCTATCAGCCAAGGGTAGTACCAACCAAAAGTAGAGGCTGAATTGACACGTTTAACAGAGATGGGAGTGATTTCATCAGTACAGTACAGTACAGTGAGAGTGGGCCACACCGGTGGTACCAGTGATCAAGAGAGATGGTTCAGTGAGACTGTGTGGTGGTTTTAAAGTGACACTCAACCCAGCCATTTGTGTGGACCACTGCCCACTTCCACGCATAGAAGATCTTTTTGCATCTCTGAATGGTGGTCAGTTATTCAGTAAGCTGGCTTTTTCAAACGCTTACTTGCAGATGCCAGTGGCACAGGAGTCGAGGAAATTACTCACCATATCCACCCAAAAAGCTATTTTGCTATAACCGTCTACCTTTCGAGATTGCCCCAGCTCCGGCATTATTTCAGAAAGCAATGGATCAAGTTCTCTTGGGGATTCCAATCACTCACTGCTATCTATATGGCATACTGATAACAGGACAAGATGATGTGGAGCACCTCAAGACACTAGACCAAGTTCTCACTAGACTGGAAAAATATGGTCTGAAATTGCAATATGAAAAAATTGAAATTTTCAAACAGTCACTGGAGTATTTGGGTCATTAAATCGATGCCGCTGGACTACACAAATCGCCAGAAAAGATTAAAGCAATAATGGAAGTGCCAACACCAGCCAAAGTAAGTCAATTACGCTATTTCCTTGGGATGATTAACTACTATGGCTATAGTTTTATCAGGACAGTTTCGAAAACCTAAAGATCCTGCACCACTTCACCCATGGATTTGGCCAAATCATCCTTGGGAAAGGATACATATGGATTTTGCTGGTCCCTTTGAAGGCCATATGTACTTTATTGTAGTTGATGCACATTCCAAATGGCCCGAAGTCTCCATCATAGACTGTACTACCACCAGCAAAACAATTCAAGTCTTGCGGGGACTTTTCAGTTGTTATGGTGTCCCTAACGTCACTGTCAGTGACAACGGCCTACAGTTTTGCGCTGAGGAGTTCTCATGTGGGGTGCAACACATCGGCTCTGCGCCCTATCACACCTCTAGTAATGGGCAAGCTGAACATTTTGTCCAAACACTCAAACATGCTCCGAAAGCTTCCAGAGGGTCAGCTCCAATCCAACAGAGACTTGATGGATTCCTGTTAACATACAGAATAACTCCTCATGCTACTACTAAGGAGTCACCTGCGATGTTATTCCTCAATCGCAAGTTAAGAACCTGACTGGATCTTCTTAGACCTAGTCTTGCCAGAACCGCGAGTCAGTCCCAGGAGGCTCAGCAGTTACGATGCCAAGAACACTCTAAGTCAAGGGAATTTCATGTTGGAGACTCCGTCCTATACCCAAAACCTGTCTATGATATAACTGTAGTGCTGTTTGATACGACGATGTATCGTCACAGAGATTTGATGATACAAGTATTGATACAGCCGTTTTAGTATCGATATCGTGGTATGTGTGCAGCAGTGGACTGCACTTGATTTGAAAACAAGAACACCATTTAAAATGGTGTAGAAAAGTGCAAGGTTTAAAAAAAAAAATTGAATAGAGCATAATATATAGGCTACAACATGCTTTAATCTGGCCGCAGAGGAACACAACCGGGGTTGCCCGATATAAAGAGATGTAATCCCCGAAATTATCAACTTGACATCTAGTGGTGGCGCTGCTCTGCAAGCGACCTGGGCGTGTATGCTGCTACTTTTTTATCAGTTTTTTACTAGTTTATCTGTTTTAATTGAGTTTTTAACAAGTTGTCTTTAGTGTTAGTTAGTGTGTTTGTTTTATCAGTTCTGACTTTTGTGACTGTGGGAGCAATACGGAACTTTTTGGCAACATGTGCGTGGGACGCTGTGT